GGGGGGGAGGGGAGGGAGGGGAAGGCACGCCCACCCCGCTCCCGCAGGACCGCCTTGTCGGACAGGGAGGCACGCCCACTCCGCTCCCCGCGGGACCGCCCTGTCTGACCGGGGAGGCACGCCCACCCCGCTCCCGCGGGACCACCCTGTCGGACGGGGGAGGCACAGCCCCTCACCTCTGCTCCCCGTGGGATTTCCAGTCTGGCGGGGCGCACGGCCTTCTCCCTCGAGACTTTCCCCGTCAACAGGAATGGGGTGGGAAGCCCGGGCTGGTTCCGACGGGAGGCCTTGGGGAGGGGGTGGCCTGGACTCTGCCTTCAAAGGCGCCCACCTGTCGGAGGCCCCCTGCCCTCCAGCGAGGGCAGGCGCGCGGTTGGCAGCGAGACCTGCTCTCTCCGCGGCAGGCCTAGGCCCAGCCCCTGCGGGGACTCCTCCCCCGGGGCCTGAGCTCCCTAGTCTGACGGGGAGGCCCACCTGCTTCTCCTGGGAGTCCCCCTTGTGGGGAGTCCCGCCCATTCCCAGAGGAGGGCTTGGTGTGATGGGGGCGGCTGTGGCCCTCCCCGAAGCCCCTCCAACCACAGGGAAGCCGAGCCCACGCCCACGGGATCTTCCGGCCAGAGGAAGGAGGCTTGGTCTTTCCTCTGCGGACTCCCAGCCTGGGGGTGCCCTGACACTGGCCGCCCCTGCTGCAGGCCTTGCTCCCGGCCTCCTGGCCACCTGGTCTCATGGGACTCCAAGATCTGGGGGGGAGGCCCCGACTCCTTCCCAGGGGACCCAGTCCACACCTGGGCGAGTGGCTGGTCTGGTGGTGGATGCTCCCGCCCGAGGAGGAGGCCCGTTCGGCCCTCGCTTGCAGGCTCCCAGCTGCTCTCCCCGTTTCCTGCAACGCCCGTTCCATCCTCAATGCGCAGTGGGGCGTGGGCTCTGGGCTCTGTCAGGACCCCTCCCTAGGCAGAGACCCCCGAGGATCCCAAGCTAGCCGGAAACCTCTTCCTTCCCCAAGTCTGCCGTCTGATGGCGTGACTTCTTACCCTCACAATAAGGATGCGAGTCAGTACCTATGGACCCCCTGCTGTATACCAGGCAGCAGCTGAAGAGCTTGGCCCTCTTGGCTCTCCACCGCACCATCAGCTGGGGGAGGAGGCCGGCTGCCGGAGCTTCCTTCTGAGGCGGGCTGCCCCTTTGGTGTCCAGATGGCCTCGCCACCCCACTGGAGCAAACCCAGAGTGGGAGGACTTGCTTCTGGCCTGGCCGCGATGGAAAATCGCGGGGCTGGTCTGACCCACCCGCCCAGGGTCATGTGCTCTTTTCGGACACAACCAGGGGACGGGAGACGAACTTGCAGATGAGTGAGGCCTAGTTGCATGTCCGGGAACCAGCGGCAGGCTCCGCCCCCGAGGCACGCAGGGAGGGCTCCGGAGGCCAGCGGCTGAGGCGATCAGGCCGCCCAGCCCCGGGGGGACCGGGGTCAGGGTCATGTTCTGAGGACCAGGGTCTTTTTTTTTTTGAGTTGGAGTCTCACTCCGTCGCCCAGACTGGAGTGCAGCGGCCGCTCCCGGCCACCGCAGCCTCGACCTGCTGGGCTCCGGCGATCCTTCCGCCTCAGCCTTCCGAGTAGCCGGAATTGCAGGCACGTGCTACCACACCCGGCTGATTTTTTTGATTTATTGCAGAGATGAGGTCTCGCTGCCCAGGCGGGTCTCGAACCCGCGGACTCGGGCAATCCACTCACCTCAGCCTCCCAAAGGCGCGAGATGACAGGCTGGGCCACCGAGCCCAGTCTAAGGACCAGGGTCTTTGGAGGATTGGGCCACCCGGCCACAGGTAGACCAGGGCCGGGATCAGGGAGAGGTTCCCTCCTTAGGGCGAAGTGTGTTTCTTTCGGCCTACCCTCGTTTTACGATGAGGGACAGAGGGTGGAGGTATGTGGGTACTGATGTTCCCAGGGTCTGGTGGAAGCTTATAGAAACCCGGGCGGGACCACAGAGCACGTCTCTGCAGTTGGGGTCAGGAGAGGAATGCCTGCGGTCTCCAGGCAAGGGGTGTGCTCGGAGGTCCTGGAGGGCCAAGGGTGCGATGCAGCGGGCGGCACACACCTGGGGAAGAAGGCCTGTAGCCAGGAAGAAAAACCCCCGGCGCAGGGAGTGTCGCCATGCCCTGTGCGAGCAGCTCCAAAGACTGGCGGATAATCGAACCCATGAGGCTTGCAGCAGGTGGCCCGCACGTAGTGAGCACACAGTCTCCACGGTGGCTGTGCTGCATGCAAGCCCGATACACAGGAGGTGTTCGATCCATGCGGGTCACATTTCATGACAGGGCTGGGTGTGGTGGCTCACACTTGTGATCCCTGCACTTTGGGAGGCTGAGGCAGGAGGATCACTGAAGTTAGAGACCAGCCCAGGGAATCTGAGACCAGCCTGGGCAATCTAGTGAGACCCCCATCTCTACAAAAAAAAAAAAAAAAAAAAAATTAGGTGCGGTAACACCTGTTGTTCTACTCGGGAGGTTGAGGTAGGAGGATTGCCTGAGGCCGACAGGTGGAGGCCACCGTGGTGAGCTGCGATGGCGCCCCTGCACTCCAGCCCAGGCCACAGGGAGACTCTGCCTCAAAAAGCCCACGAGGGGTTCCACTGGGAACCCGGCCCCTCCCTTCCCACCAGGCTCCTGTCCCGCGGGGCACGGCTGCCCGGCCGCCCCCACCCCTCCTGTCCTTGCCTGCAGGGCCCTTCGAGGACGCCCTGAAGCTGCATGAGTGCACAGTGGCGGCGTGCGTGACGGCAGCCCCCGTCCCCGTGGAAGACCAGTGGCCCAGCCCGCCCACCCGCCGGGCCCCCGTGGCCCCCACGGAGGAGCAGCTGCGGCAGGAGCCCTGGTACCACGGCCGCATGAGCCGCCGGGCGGCAGAGAGCCTGCTCCGAGCCGACGGGGACTTCCTGGTGCGAGACAGCGTCACCAACCCCGGGCAGTACGTCCTCACGGGCATGCACGCCGGGCAGCCCAAGCACCTGCTGCTGGTGGACCCCGAGGGCGTGGTAAGGCGGGCATGGGGGAGGCAGGGCCTCCAGGCTGATGAGGTGTCTTCCGGACACGAGGGACTCGCACCCCCTTAGCGAGCCAGGGCGAGACTGGCGTGCTCGCCAGTTTTGGGAGGACGCGAGGGTGCCCCAGAGCCTTCCAGCCTTGTGCATGTTTGGGGGGTTCTGCAGCCTCTCCGGGCATACGGGGCACGGTGCTGCAGCCTTAGGAAGTGCCGGCCCCAGCATCTGTCACCACAAACGCCTCTTGCCCACGGCGGTGTGTTGGAGCGATAAATGCGGTATTTTCAGTGTCTCGTTTATTTTAGGGCTCCGAAGCATGTTTCAGTTCACAAGGAGTTTTACAGCGAGCTGCTAAATGGCTTCGATTCCGAGACATACACCTCTCCCCGCCCCCGCTTTGACATCTTTTGAAGTCTGGGTTTTTTGTTGTTGTTTTGTTGTTGTTGTTGTGAGTTGGAGGGTCACTCCATTGCCCAGGCTAGAGTGCAGTGTCGTGCTCACAGCCACCCCAGCCTCAACCTGCTGGGCTCAGGCGATCCTTCTGCCTCGGCTTTCTGAGTAGCCGGAACTACAGGGGTGCACTACCACGCCTGGCTCATTTTTTATTTATTGTAGAGACGAGGTCTTGCCAAGGTGCCTGGGCTGGTCTCAAACCTATGGGCTCGGGCCATCCACTTACCTCGGCCTCCCAAAATGCTGGGATGACAGGCTGAGCCACTGAACCTGGCCTGAGATCTGGGTTTTCTAAAACCATCAGTTCCATCTTTAAACTGCACCCTCCCTCCCTCCTTCCTTCTTCCTTTCCTTCCGTTTTTCTTTCTCAAGTCGGGGTCTCACTCTGTCGCCCAAACTGGAGGGCAATGGCATAGTCACAACTCACCACAGCCTCTATATCCTGGGTTCAGGCAATCCTTCTTCCTCAGCCTCCTGAGTACAGGCACGCACCTCCACAACTGACTAGCGTTTTGCAGATACAGGGTCTCGCTGTGTTGCCCGGGCTGGTCTTGAACTCCTGGGCTCAAGCCATCCTTCCGCCTCGGCCTCCTAAAATGCTGGGATTATAGGCATGAGCTACTGTGACTGCTGTACCCGGCCTATCATTTTTATTTTGATTTTTTGTAGAGATAGGTTCTCGCTATGTTGCCCAGGCTGGTCATGAACTCCTTGGCTCAGGTGATCCTCCCACCTTGGCCTCCCAAAATGCTGGGGTGACAGGCATAAGCCACTGCACCTGGCCGCACCACTATTTAACAGGGCCGTTTTTCTCTCCTCTCTCCTCTGGGTGCACCTTACAGGTGCTTTGAACCAGGGAGCTTGTGTCATCTCTGTTTCTGGAGCATTTTAGTGTTTACCAAGCATTTTCCGATTTACAAGGAGTTCTAGGGATTAGGAGGCACTTTCGAGTGTCCAAGGTCCCCAGGTCTTGTGGGTTACTTTCCAGGTGAGATGGTGCTTGAGGGACAGGGCCTTCCCGGTTGACAAATGTTGCTTTTTGGCGTCCCGGGACTTCTCAGAGCAGCCGTCAGGACCCTGGTCTCTAAATGAGGCACACGGCTTGGGGCCCATGGGCCGGCGAGGCCCCTCCGCCCCTCCTAGCTCTGGCCTGGTGTGTGACCTGTCCTCTCTGCCCCAGGCCAGACTGCTGCTCTGCTAAGGGGATCAGGATTAAGTTGGTGGCTTCTATACCCAGGGAGGCTTCAGAACTCCCATCAATACTTTGTTGAAATGCAGATTCCTGGGTCCCACCCCAGTGCCATGGAAATCAATGACTTTGCCCCGGGGTCTGGGAATGTGCATTTATTTTTACTTTTTATTTTTTTGAGCTGGAGTGCAGTGGCCGCTGCCAGCCACCGCAGCCTGGACCTGCCAGGCTCCAGCGATCCTTCCGCCTCAGCCTTCCAAGTAGCTGGAACTACAGGCGTGCGCTACCACGCCCAGCTAGTTTTTGACTTATTGTAGAGATGAGGTCTCGCCAAGTTGCCCAGGCGGGCCTCGAACCCGTGGGCTCAGGCAATCCACTCACCTCGGCCTCCCAAAGTGCTGGGATTACAGGCTGAGCCACCAAGCCCGGCTGATTCTGATTTTTTTGGCCTGCATCTGCAAGACGCAGGTGTCTTTATTTCCTAGGGCTGCCTGCTGAATGACCACAGCCCAGCAGCTTAATACCACAGAGACGTATTCTCACAGAGACCCAGAAAAGCCCCACCCCCTCCTGGGCCCCCCGGGACGTGTGAATCCACATCCAGAAGGCCTACGTCAAGTTGTCACAGGGCTGGTTCCCCCTGAGGTGGAGGGAGCATCCATCTCAGGCCTCGTGCAGCTTCTGGGGCCGTCGGGCGCGCGCCTTGGTGTTCTTGGCTGTAGACACACGGCCCCGATCTCTACCTCTGCCTTCATGTGGCTTTGAACCCTGAGTGTCTCTGGTTAAGTTTCCTTTTTGTCTTTGTCGGGGTCTCACTCTGTCACCCAGGCTGGAGGGCAGGGGCACGCTCCTGGCCACCACAGCCTCGACCTGCTAAGCTCAGGCGCTCCTTCCGCCTCAGCCTTCCAAGTGGCTGAAACCACAGGCGTGTGCCACCACACCCGGTTAATTTGATTTTTTTTTTCCTTTGAGTTGGAGTCTCACTCTGTCGCCCAGGCTGGAGTGCAAGAGGCCGCTCCTGGCCACTGCAGCCTTGACCTGCTGGGCTCTGGTGATCCTTCTGCCTCAGCCTTCCAAGTAGCTGGAACTACAGGCGTGCATTACCACGCCCGGCTAATATTTTTGATTTATTGTAGAGATGAGGTCTCGCCAAGTTGCCCAGGCGGGTCTCAAACCTGCGGGCTCAGGCACTTCACTCACCTCGGCCTCCCAAAGCGCGGGATTACAGGCTGGGCCACCGAGCCCGGCCTGATTTTTGATTGATTGTAGAGACGGGGTTTCACCAAGTTGCCCAGGCTGGTCTGGAATCCTGGGCTCTGGCAATCCTCTCCTCTGCCTCCCAAGGTGCTGGCATTACATGCATAAACCACCCTGTCCGGCCAAATTCCTCTTCTTACAAGGCCACCGGTCATTGGACTCAGGGCCCCCCTGGGCCATCCAAGATATATGCATCTCTAGATCTTTCGCTTGATTGACCTACAAAGACCTTTCTCCAAGTGAGGCCCCATTCACAGGTGTGGGCCTGTGTCTTTTGGGGGCCACCATTCAGCCCACTCCAGAAAGTGTGGCCCCGGACGCGTCCCGCCGTGGTCCTGGGATTCTGGGGCTGATCGTGGTTGGAGTCCCCGGAGACCTGCTGGAACATACCTCTGGCCCAGCAGGTCTGGGGCAGCTTGGGAACGTGCCGGGGACGCATCGTGAGGCTGACGGCTCTTGGTCTTCAGGTGCGCACGAAGGACGTGCTGTTCGAGAGTATCAGCCACCTGATCGACTACCACCTGCAGAACGGGCAGCCCATCGTGGCCGCCGAGAGCGAGCTGCACCTGCGTGGCGTGGTCATGCGTGAGCCCTGAGCCAGGTGCGCGCCCGCCGTGGACACCCCACGTCTGCCCGCTTGCCGATTCGAGACACGATGCGCACCGCACACAGATCACTCACCACGAGTGCAGACCTCAGGGGTTCTTAGGGGCTTTGTGGATCCAGAACATTCCATGACCCAGAAAAGCCCCACCCCCTCCTGGGCCCCCCGGGACGTGTGAATCCACATCCTGTCTCTGGATTTCCTGTTCTGGGCCTTTCACACAAGTGGAGTCACGCCCTGTGTGTCATTTGGTGCCCTGGGTCTCACAGAGCGTGACGTCCTCAAGGTCCATCCACATCGTGGCCTGTGTCAGAGCCGCCTCTGCGTGGCTGAGTCATGTTTCACGTGTGGATGGACCACGCTGTGTTTGTCTGCTCACCCGTCAGTGGACACATGGGTGGTTTCCATTTTCTAGCCATTGCAGATGACGCCACCACAGATGTTCGCGTCCGGGTCTTGTGTGGACGGGTGTTTCCACTGCCCTTGGGGCAGACACGCAGACGGGTGCGGTGGGGCTGTCACGGCAACTCTGACCCCCTGGCGATGGAGACACCTGGCCCTGTAGCCCCCGTTGGTGCCGGGTGTCCAGACTTCCTTCCCACGGAGGTGAGGGTGGGTGTTGCTGGAGGGGACAGCAGGCCTGGAGGGGCCCAGGCAGG